CTCCTTTCGGCAACGCTTCTCTAGTATCCCGTCTCATCTGGTTCGACGTTGCCTTGAACATTGGCAACGAACATGAACAAGGCATCGCACGTTTCCTTGGCACGGTTGCCTTAAACTATGCCTGGGTAATCGTAGCTCCAAGAAACGGTATTGCGAGGATTAGAATATCCATTCCGTCCGTTGTATAAACAATCCGTCGCACAGCCTGGTCGGGCTAGCGTAATCGTTGGCCAACGGTTCAAACATGTACGCAGCTGAATACAACACTCGCAGCTAGGGCCTGCATACCTCCCAAAGTGACCGACCAATCAGAGCGCTCAGAGTTGACACACCCCCACTCGCAGCTCGCAGCCCGCAGCTCAGGCATTAAAGCTAATGCGATGTTTTGTGGTATCCATGGCTACCTTTGTGTGTACATGGCAATCTAGCTTTAATAATAATAGCGGCAATCGGCCATTCATTATTGACATGCCGGTGCGGGACCGGCACTTATGTTTTCGTGTATGTATGTTGTGTTATATTATGTTTATGTTTCACTTGTGTTTTCGTGCCTACTGAAACAAATCCGAGGTACAATTCCGCGAAAATTATATTGACTGCCGTTGACATTGAAACTATGATGAAGGCTGCAATCGAGCAATGGCTAGATGCTGCCATAACACTGCCATCAACGAATTGCAATGTCCCAAATACAAACTGGCTGAATGAGTTCCGAGATTGGCTTCGGCAACATGAGGATTCAGACATTTTAGTATATCCGGCAACTTCAACCAAAGATCTTCTCACTCTCTGTGATGTTGGCTGGATGGAACTTCAAACAATAAGTGCATTTCTACCAGTAATCAACCATTCGGCAAATGGTAGAAAGGCAATGGCATTCAGCAATCTTGCTGAATTACAAGATGATGATCTTGAGAAAACTTTAGCAGCAGAGCTCAGTAATGTAAACAACATTGCTTTCATTCTACATGTTGGCAGGGATAGTGGCCAAACCTACGTTTCATCACACGCCTTAACCGGCAATCACTGGTCAATGTTAACAGTCGATCTTCGAATTGGATCTTTCCAGTATTTTGATAGTTTGTGTTGGCCAGTTCCGAGAAATTTAAAGAACCCACTCGAAAGGGTTATAAAGGCAATAATAAAGGTGCGTTCCATCGAAGTAACAGTCCCTACCGACATTTCATGTGCCCATCCTAGTAGCAGCAGTATTCACGTGTGTACTGGGGACTGTCTGATTAACTACCCCATTAAGCAATGTGGCAATGTTTGCGGAGCAATCACTGTTCTAATGGCAGCAGTTTTTGTGCAAGCTCCCACCTATTGGCAGAACGTGATTCAGTCACCAGTTCGTATGTCGTCTTGTTGGCTTCGAAATCCCACTGCCAACTCATCGTATATTCGCAAGGTACTAATATCTTGGTTGATGCAGCAGCGTATAGATATGTCCAATCTTGGCATCCAGGATGCGCAAATTCAGGCTCAAGGTACAGTCAACAGCAACGCTTTTACAGTAGAAAAGCGTAACGAGGAGATTTTCAAATGCAAAGAAAAGACAAGGAAGCATCGTGAGATGCGATCTTCTCAACAAAGTGCGGAAGCACAACCAGAAAGTATTATTGAAATCTCGACGTCTTCGGAGGACTGTAGTGTTGATCGGTTGGCAGACTTCGTGGATGAAGAGCCAGTAAAAAAAAAGCATGTAGGTATTTAATTTACAATTTTGTGTTGTTTTAGCAAAAAACTTATTAAAACTTTTAAACTCAAAAAGTAATGAACTTTGGCTAAAAAACACTTTTATTTCGGTGAATTGGAAAAAAAATTTGTCGATCTCAAACCACAGAGAAGAGTTTCTTACAAGAATAAGTGTCTTATCTATACCGAACGTAGGTATCTTATTGTAAGGAGTTTTCATTGAGAGAAATATCCATGTTTTGTGGAAATTTGACAAAAGTTCGAATAGAAACAATGGCGAGTGTAGCTTTGCATCCCACACTCGAACTCGTGACTCTGAGTAATTACAAGGTATTGTTGTAGTACACGACAAACATATTATCTCAAATTAATTTTAATTTTTGAGACCTTAGCAATGAACTATTGACACGCCAAATAGATTGCAGGTGAGCCTTGAATCGCATTTATGTCAGTCTCTGAGATATTAGTACAAACCCTTTTCTAAAGGCTAGATATTTGTTTTTTTATTTTATCTAAGGAAAATCATACAATTTTCATTCTTGTCAAAGTTTCAATTTCAAGTTTGAGATATTTTTTTTAGGGTGAAAGTCAAATATACAACGTGGTAGAAGTTGAAAGTAGCGGAGAAACCTTAGATTTTGTAGATGTTAAGGTTGATCGCGCAAATCAACAGAAGAATGTAGACCAAGTGGCTGAAAGCTCTGCACCCACTGTAAGTATAGGGAAAAACACCATCTAAGACTCTAAGTTATAAGTAGTATTTTGTAACAAGAAGTTAGTTTTCAGTTGCCTAAAGTGAAAGAGTAAATTTTCCTCAACATTAAAAAAACGTTTCAGTCGCAGTCTTTATAAAGTTTGTCTAATTTTTGCAGAACAGCAGGATTAAAGTTCATTTTTAGGTAAAAGCAAACTGGCGACATGAGAAATTTTTATGATCACATTTCTAACAAGAATCCACGCTGATATGGCGTAATTGTCAGAGCGTTGAAGCTTATTGTCCGCGGAGGCAGGTGCAGATTTCGCCCTGGCAATGTCAATTTTGATTTAACAGGTTTTCCTTCTCTAGTTTCTGAATAGTAATTTCTATAAATGAAGAATTGCTTTGTAAGCAGGTTAGAGTGATTATTAGAAAAATCAAATCTCTTATGGCACGTCTCTTCTATATCTTTATTTACAGACTCAGGAACGTAGCAGAAAATGTCCAGTAAAAAAAAAAATCAAAACTACTGGAAATTCAAAGCAGGCAAAAAAGAGCAGGGTAAATTGTGGTGATTGTGGAGAAACATTCAGTTCTGTCCACTGCCTTTACAAGCATCGTAAGCGTCAATTACATCCATCTGACGAGCCACAGCGTGAGAGAAACATGCCTATAACGTGTGTGCAGTGCTCCGACTTCAGGTAACTTTAGTTGTGTTACGTAGCTAAACTGCTAAACTGAATAAAGCTAACAAGGTAAAATTTCTTTCACGTTGCAGGAATATCCAAACAGTTTAGTATAAATTTTAAAACTCAATTATTATCAATTTTATACCCTAATATAACCAGCTGAAGGTTCAATTCCTCCTAATTTCAATTTTGTTTATAACCTCTCTTGCTGATGTTATTTACCTTCAACGTCATACCTCAAATCATACAAGTGTGTTTGTTAAGTGCACATTGGAGCAATAAGGGTCTAGCGTTTAGACGTTCCGATTACATACTTCTACATAGTTGCATAATTTGATAGAAATTGGGAAAGAGATTCGATATAAGGGGTAAATTGACTCACAATTGTCATAGGACTGGCATTTTCACATTTGAAAATGAAAAGATTCATTAGAATTTCTAACCTATGACGCCATTGTACTGAGCTCAAAGCTCAAACAACTATTAAAATCCAGATAACACTCTTAATAAGAGTCCTAATTGTTGTCCTTGTTAAGGGTCTTTATTTCATTTAACAGATGCGCAACGATGGAAATTCTTGTAGAGCATGTGACAGTGAGACACGGAGAGAAGCTGGAGGTTGCAAACCATCAGTTTGAAACGACCAGAGAATTTCTGACTTGGCAAGTGAACATCGAGAAAGAAACTACCTCATGGTTTGTGAAATATCGAAAAAGAGAGGGAAAGCAGCATACAATTGATTGGTTCAGATGTAACAGAACGGGTACTTACAAACCACGTGGCACAGCGAAAAGAGCAATAAAGCAGCAAGGCACATCAAAAATTAACGGGTACTGCACGGCTCACATGAAGGTAACGACATCAAAGTGCGATGGCAAGGTGACAGTGGAAGGCTGTCTGGGGCATTTTGGTCATCCGCTTAAACTTGGCCACTTGCGAATTCCCGATCAAATTAGACAAACCATTGCTGGTAAGCTAGCGAAGGGAGTCACTATTGAGTCTGTTTTAGACCAGATTCGCAATAGCACCCAGGATGGCATATCAAGGGAGCATCTAATTGACCGAAAGGATATAATAAATGTGAAACATCAATTTAACGTAGATCTCATGGAAAAAGACTCCAAAGACACGAGAAGCATTCACTATTGGGTAAATGAGCTTGAAAAGGGTGAATTCAACCCCGTCGTTGTCTACAAGCCCCCAAGGGATAGAAGGATATTCTTTGCCAAATGATGATTTCCTGCTTGGCATTCAAACCAAGTACCAACTAGACAAATTTATACAGCACGGAAAAAAAATCGTCTGTATGGATTCAACACATAAAACAAATCAATACGACTTTCAATTAATCTCAGTCCTTGTTATTGATGAGTTTGGAGAAGGAGTACCTGTTGCATGGCTGATCTCAAACAGAGAAGATCAACTGGTTTTGTCCCCGTTTCTAGCAGCTATTGCAGCAAGGGCAGGGGCAATCAAAACCTGTGTATTCATGTCAGATGATGCAAATAATTTTTACAATGCATGGGTTCTCAATTTTCCCAAGCCACAGAAGAAATTGATCTGTGCATGGCATATCGACAAAAATTGGCGAAAGGGGCTTAGAACGCACATCTCAGCAAAGGATGACATGGCTGAAGTATATGCTGCCCTCAAAACCATGCAATTTGAAGCGAGCGAGACCCAATTTCGAAAGCAACTTCAAGAGTTTTGCGCATGGTGTGAGAAGACCTACCCGAGGTTTTACAATTATTTTTTCGATACATACGTTAGACGTGTCGAGCAATGGGCGCTATGTTTCCGAGTAGGTGCAGGCATTAACACGAATATGACAACCGAAGCATTCCACAATCTCCTTAAAGGACTCTACTTCCAGAGAAAGCAGAATAGGAGAATCGATCACTTGCTTGGTAAGCTTTTAAAAATAGCACGTGACAAGGTGTTTGACAGTCTCATCAAGAAGGAAAAGGGGAAGCGAACATACAAGCTCAGAGAATTAGATATGCGCCATAAAAGGGCAGAGGTAATTCAAGATGACGATATCCGCGAGCTTGATAACGCTAACTGGAAAGTTCGTTCTCAAGAAGAAAGAGATGTTTTACATTCCATCAAACTCATGAAAAAGTCATGTAATTGCTACGTCCATTGCTCAAGATGCGGAGTGTGCCAACACATGTATCGATGTGGCTGCACCGATTTTAACATTAGGGGAATTTCATGCAAGCACATCCACGCAGTTCATATGAAGCAACCAAATGGCAGCGAAGAAGCGAACTTAACGAGAATAAACGCCGACACCACAGTAAACGAAGATGTCGCAGAAAATCAAGATTATTTGTGTATTTGTGTCAAGGACCATATCAATATCAAGGTATAGGTTGGTAGATTTGAAGAGTTTTCAGAAGCGAAATGGACTTGTGTGATCTTGCTGAATCTTTGTTTTTATACATAATACACTATATATATATTGATTAAATGCAAGTTGGTAGATTACCTTTCCTTGGTAAACCTATACCATTAATGTATAATCATTTTCAAAAAATCAATCAACCTAAGATTATTGAAGTTGATGATTGTAAGACTATTAAAAAACGCGAGGTGAATTTGCCATTTTGAAGGTAAATCTTAATTGAGTTGGAGACCCCTTTTCATGAAACTTGTGTAACTTGTGTGGCTGCACAGGCCTTGTGTACCATCAACAATATTCTCTTGTCAGAGACTTTAAAAACATACCTACCAATAAAACTTTTAACAGGCTCCAGAATTGTTTAATGATATGGTACAGTTATCTAGAAAAATCGTAGAAAGGTATATCCATTGGCCAAATTTTGTCAAATGGTCATAATATGTCCTGTCTGCTGCAGAAAAAGAAAAGAGTATAGTATTATAATAAACAACCTTCGGGGAACTGAAAAATGGAGATTTTTACAATATACAAAAAATACCAACAAAGCCTAAGAAACCAAGGTAGTGATATTCAACAAAATTAGACAAATTAAATCAATTTCCACTGAAATAATAACTTGTTTTATAGGGAAAATACCCCATTATAACAACATCTCTAGAAAAACATTTTTCCATACCTAGCTATATAGTCTGTGGGCTTATGTATAAAAAGCAAAATTTTGGGTAGATTCTTGGCACCCATGTTTAAACACACCTAGAAACATCACTGATTAAGAAAAAAATGGGTGCCAGTTTTTCCATAAACATTTAGGGCCGCCATTTTGAATTTCAAAATGGCGGCGTTTTTTAAAGCGATTTGTATTATTTTTTGGTATTCAACGTTATTTTAAACGTATAATCGAAATGCGTTCATAGAGTTTGGGTACCAAATGAATTATAGTTGAGACAACTTTTCATCTAAACTCTGTTTGCATGGATAGAAACAGGTTTGCGACGTTATTATAAAAAAATATATATAATCTTACCACGCATTTTTAAATTTTTAAACGCAATCGGACTCCATTTTAGTTTTTAACTTTGTATTTCTAGTCAAGACATATATCTAATCAAGTCATAATTTTATAAATGTTTTAAATAATTTAAGGTCTTGACGACGCATGGCAAGAAGCAGATCTGTACAGTAGCGTGACTGCATGTATCACAGATTTTAAATGGCAAGGTCATCTACAACAGAGCGACTCGAAGGCGCCACCAGTTAATCTCTCAGCACTTGCCGATCTTCTGGATGGGAGAAATTCCTTGAGGATCACCCAGTTGTACGTGACGCGGCCTTGGGTAGCCAGCGTAAAAAGCAGCTGACTGAAGCCACTGCCGGCCTCCAGATAGAACACAGGCCGACTTGCGCGAAGGCGCCTTAGGCATTCAAAATGACAATCAATAGACCTCCTTAAATCTGAGAAACAGCTTACGCAAGAGTTTGACGTGTCCGCTAAGATCGACGCATCCTCAATGTTTTCACACATCCGGCCTAGGCCACTCGTCACCATGCGGCCACGGTAGTTACAGTTCCAGAAGGCCTAATACGGGAAGGTTTAACTGGCACCAAGCTATCTAAACTTGCAGACATCACGTCCTTGGAAAGCATCCTTTTGCTAGTGTTACTTTTCTGACTAATGCCAGGGCTAGCATTATGCTCCGAAACATTCCAGAGCCTCCAGTTCCGCACGCCCCACTGGATGCCCATAAAACCCCTGATTCGCAGATCTCCTAAGCCAGAGCACTCTACCCACTAATCCGGGTGACCGTTTTGCCCTTCAGGTACGTACCCAATACCCAGCCACCCGATATCTCTAAGCTCCACCGACCCGTCACTTTCCGCGAGTCGTGATTCAGCGTATGGAACCACCGCTCAATCAAAATCTCAACACTCCCGCACCCTCATAGAGCCGTCCCAAGGCGCCGACCTACCATCTCGCCCACTCCACCCACCACATCCTCCTCATGAAATAACATTCAACATCTCCAGTACGCATCTCTGAGTTAATTGTCTCTCACCTCTCCGGAGCGATTGTTCCGCCACGAAGCTGGTGCCATGATCAGAACGACTGTAGCTCACTACTCACTCGGCACAATGCCCCACCAACAGCACCTCCTACTCACTCCTCTGTCCCAACCTATTGGCTCGGCCCAAGAAACGCCCAGTTGCCCCTCCAGCGTGAAGTCCGAGTCGCTAGCACCCCTGAGAATCGCCTATATCAAACAGCGAGGCTCAGTCAGCCCCCCACTGGCTCCGCAAGCCCATGCCACGCGAGCCTCGCACACATCTCTCTGTCACACCGCGCGCGCTCCGCCTGCTCATCTGGTACCACCACCGACCGCTCAGCTCTACAAGGCCTCACGGACCACCTCCCAATCCTGCCCCCAGACCGCCAACCCTTTCACACCAAAAGAATCATCGAACCGCTCCAACGCCTACTCCGCCAATGGCATTGGAACAGCCTTGTCTGTAACTATCACGCCATATCTTGCGCTCGAAAAAAGCCCACGGCTTTTGCTGACAGGAACGCCGATCTTCTGGAGTCGCAAATTTGGCTGGCACAAGATGACCAAGTCAAGCAGAAAGACATGCCGATGTCTGGCGCGCCCCCTGCCAAAAGGACATTAAATGAACGCAGGTCTGAGCGGGTGACCTTCAAGGCAACCACTATCACTCTTCTGCCCAGACTCGCCCTGCGTTATTGCCCGCGGTCCATTCGAGAGGTGTGATCCTTGGAAGAGTGATTGGCAATGTCGATGAGTTTGCCTACACGAACAAAGTTCTTCATGGGCCAACGGACTGGAGTCTATTCATCCCACTTACGGACACCGCTAAGCACAGCTGATACAAGGTTCCTGGAAGAATTTGGATGGCCAACGACACACGTTCAAACTTCCTGCCACACGCTGCCCACCCGAGTTTGAAAGAGGGAATTGGAAGACGCTCGTCTTGGTAGTTGATGGCAATGGGCATGTTACATGGAGGATGGCAATCAAGAACCTTTCAAGACTTGCCAAAGAGCTCTGCACACATACTTCGTCCACACTTCACTTGATCTCAAAGGCTCCGAGGATACTTGTCACGTGGCGAGTTATATTTGATAAGCTACAGCCAATAAAAGATCAATGTAAGAGAAATCAACCTTATGAGAGCGGACGCGAAACGCAATGTGGCGGTAACTACAACTCCTACATAGTATCAACGGACCGCAAAACGCGGCATCAAACAGCACGCAAAGAGATGTTTCTCGGCCAGCAAGCGCCACAAGGATTCAGGCTAACTCCACCTTGTCCCATGCAGTATCCGCGTCCTACAGCTGACGTCTCGAAGGTCATGACTGCCAACACCGGCAGAGGCATGACGCAATTATGAATGTGGAAATAATGCCTGGTGGTCAGCACACAGGAAGACAGGCGAACACTTCTATGATTTATCATGCTGATAAGAAGTTGCCAGAGCAAACGGGCATTAAGCGTTTCCACATTAAATATTCTCAAGACATCAGACTGATGCTGCCTTTTAAGGCTCTACGCAAGACGCCGCTACTGTGGCAACCATTCTGCGCTAATCATTGGGCGTCAAGCGAAAAAGACGACGATAAAAGTCTTCCTACAGCCTACAGCTTTGACCGGGCAGAAAATCAGCAGCTTTTGATAAACTGGCATGCTCTCACCAGGCGTGTGCATACCGACAGGACACATACCAGGGAAGAAGGCGAAAGCACAGGAATCCTTTGCAAACTTTCCTGCAAGGCACAGCCCCGCCGAGATCCTGTTAGCACTAGCTGGTCTTGGGAAAAGGAGATCGAACGCGTCCGAAATAGGACTCTATACGACATGGCCTGACTGAAGATGTTCCTTTTTTTCTGACTTTTCCGTGTCCAAGTGGGAGTCCACATTGGGCAAGAAATAATGCTCAGATTTGTTTTGTGTTCAAGCAACGACTCA